CCTGAAATTCTGTCAGGTTAATGAAATCTAAACCGATCAGCTTCATGATTCACCATATTTAATTTTTTACAGAAGTTAAAACAAAGGTTCGTCAACCATTGTAATGATGTATACGCCACGATTATTAGGAAAACATTTTCTAGCGCGAGGAACCAGAGTTGCATTTCTAGTTGTTATCTTCTGCGTAATAGTGAGCCTATGGATATATGCTGTTTTTTTGAGCACGCATTACGAATCTACCAATGGAGATCGGCCAGCAATTCTTGATGCCACGGTGAGTTGCGGCAGACGGTATCTGGCGAAGAAAACTCGTGCTAAATCACTTTTAAAACAAGCTAGACAACTGCCAATCTTCCGAGGGTTTCTCACTGTAGACATATACACACACACGCACGCGCACGCACGCACGCACGCACGCACGCACGCACGCGCGCGCGCGCACGCACGCACACACACACACACACACACAATACTCGGTCACTATTCGCTACAGAAGTTCTACGCGACACGAAAAAGTGAGGTGGCGGTTGATGTGCTACCGGAAGACCGACGTCTCATGCGCCTTTACGAAGTAGCTCTCCATCGCCATGGACTCACGCCGGTCCGTGCAAGCTCCTCGGCCGTCGGGCAACCGCCGGAGACTCTCAATCGTTTATGTGACGCGCTGACTAGCAACAGAATCCTGTGCCTTTCATCATCTCAACACAAGACTGGTAACAACACTGCTGGAGTAACCATCGCACTGGTCGGGGCCGTACGCTCCTGCAGCCCCTCAATACATTTGAGGGAAAATGCGAAATTACGCTTAATGAGTGTAAATAACTGTAGATGATTGTATTAATATGATGCATTAAAAAATGATGCATTAGGCATCTTACCCCGCACGCGGTTTATTCCTTAAAACTACATAAAAAGTAGTAATTTTTCGGCATTACTCGAGTAAGTCACGAAATATTGCTCTCCCCGAGATATTTTGCTCAGCATACAAGGCTCAAGAAAAATTAATAGAACGACGAACTATTAACGATTGTGGATTATACCGCACACCGGTTACGGGATTACTGTATGCATATCTTTCCGCTCGGGAGGACCGGTATTAAAATGGTTAACAGCGAGCGGGATTTTCTAGCGATTCTTCACTACGTAGTCTGTCTCTCTCTCTCTCTCTCTCTCTCTCTCTCTCTCTCTCTCCCTCTCTCTCTACCTAAATTTAACAAACAGGTTTTGCGCTTGACACCACCACTTGCAGCTCTCTCAGAATCCATAGTTACGGTACATAGTTACGGTAATTGTACAATGTTCAGTAAAGAGAAATGTGTAAAATGTAGGGATTACCATTGGGAAACTTAAAGTAACGGAAAGAAACGTAACACAAGTGACTACTAACATTATAGAATAAGTAGTCTTTCACGCTATGCTATATGTTTTCTTTTCAAAACACGTTGCTCTACTACTGCATTATTCGACTAGCATTTATTATTCTCTACTTTCTTCTGGAACATAACCAATATTGCATTGGCGCCATTGTTGCACTGGGTCCCCCACTAATATATATATATATATGTATCATTATTTGCTTTCAGTAAAGGACGACACGTACAGGCCAGGCGTAGTACCGTGCGTTTCTAAATTGAATTTCAAGGAATACACTGCCCGTGAAAGAATGTGGATATTAAAGCAATCCCGTCCAGTCAGGAAAATATTGCTGTTGAATCAGACATTCGGTAGTGACACGGATAAAAGGTTAACAAAACACATTTTTTATGCGAATCAGGTGTGCACTCCTATTTTATAGGATACCCTTATTATTAGATCAACCGTGGGGACAACCTGTTGTACAGTTTGGATGTACGCGCACTCCCTCTCTCTTTCTCTCTCTCTCTCTCTCCCATCTTTCTCTGCTTCTCTGCCCCTCTCTCACCCTCTACCTCATCTCCAATATCTTTCCTTGTCTTTCTCCCCCTTCTATTTATTCTCTCTGATACTCTCTCGCCTTTCTCCCTTTCGACCATCTGTCTCTCCCTCCCTCGCTTCCTCCCTCCCTCCCTCCCTCGCTCCCTCTCTTCCTCCCCCCCTCTCTCTCTCTCTCTCTCTCTC